GCAGTTAATAGTTTTATCTTACATTGCTTACTTAAATGTATTTAATATCATGTGGTGTTCTCACCGCGTGTCTTGGATCGATCGGCATATGAGGTCTCATATTTTGTTTAATTATACCTGGTGTATCAATTTAATACGAACAACACATACCTAAAAAAAAAAAAGTATAAGCTTAAAATATCGTTGCTTAAAAATTCAAACTCAAACGAAGAAAGTTAAATGAATAATTAAATAAATAAATATTGATTCGTTCAGTACAGCCGTTTTGCGTTTTGTTGCTCTGCATTCCGTCCGTATTTACTCAGACATATTTCGTGCTTTCTGTCGCCCTTTTACGGTAAAACGGTGAAGCAGAAGAAAAATGAACCTGAGTATTAGTCAGGCATTGCACAATTACAGAGCATAACTTACTGACAGCTGTCAATGTAAAATTAACGTTGTTATTACAACTAGATGAAGTGGTTACCGTGCAAACATTTGCAATGTCGAACTCTCAACCGGTGGCCAACAATTATCAGCAAATTATCTCAGTCAGGCTTTGTCAGTTGAAAATCTGTCGCATTTTTAAAATTAAAAAGGGTGCACTAAATCGCGCCAAAATATGTTTTCAAAACTTTTCGGGTTTTTATTGCTTTGACCGTCAGTGCGGAAGTGTTGTTTGATGCCACTCCTCCAAAATCGGTCGGAAAACTTTTTTAGTGAAAGAGAAATGTTTCCAAAGCTGCTGCGAAGTATGTAAGCGTTCTGCGGGAATTTTTTTTCTGAGGGAATTCAGAGAAGGCAAGAAGGGTTTATATTGCTCCCAAAGTTGTCCACTCAATTTGCAGCTGCAGGACACTTTCCATCTTTCCCGTCGGCAGAGCCAGCCATGTATAAAGTAAATGCATATATTTTTCAGAATTCTTTTCTTTTTTCATCATCTTTCCTTTGTGTCTTCTTAACAGGAGTCAAAAACGATGGTCCGCAGAGACCCAGAGAGACGGCCGTGTTAAGAGGTATGGGAACTAGGTGGAGCAAAGTTGGTTAGCAGTTCAGTTGAGAAAAAGGGTGTGCCGCTTTTTGATTAATTAGATAGCGCTTATCATATCAAAATCAAATTTAATTTTGGATGAAGTGATACAACAAGCCGGTGAGTCCAAAGAAAAACGAGAACCAGGCAAGAGAAGTGGTAAACGTTATTCTACCAACTTTGAACCCACAGCCTCGATCCTTAGCGTAAGAGATGAACAGAGCAACGTTGCTACGTTCGCTAAACGGTCCTACTTCCCAACCTGTGGTACGGTTAATTTCCTCGTAGATTCCTTTGAAAACGGAAAAAAGGGCAATTAACTTTGCGTTTCAAGACATCTGCAACTAAGGGAGCGGTCAGTATTTGTCATTTGGGGGGGAGGGTCGTAGGATTTGGATCACTTAATAATCTCTTGACTTTACCTGATCCCCGATAAGGCTCTGTAACATTTTTATGATCCCTCCCCTCCACCTTATCAACAGTTAATTGGCAGTCACCTTTCCATAGTTCCCTCTATACTCTGTGAGAGATTATTGATCCCCGATCTGCTCCCACTGAAAACCATGTGATCCCCCCCAAAAAAAATCCCCCTCCCCTCCCGGCTCGTCCTTATGATGCTTATAAGACGTCGATATAATTATCCTAAGTATTTCAGAGCTACGTTTTTCTCCAACTTTGGATTTACTTTGCTTTCTTCATATTTGGTGAGGCATTTTTCTTTTTTTTTT